AATTTTTGTTCCAAGTTTAAACTTGGCATAACTATTGACCATTTGCCACGTTAACATGACCTTGCTATCATTGATTTTGTGAAAATTCAGAATGATGTGTTCTTCAATTGTTTCGTTATTCATGCACAGAGAGGACGCAGTTGATAAGCTCTCTCGAAATGTATTTGCGCAAATAAATTCCGCTATTTTGGTCTGCTTCAAATGTTACGAAACTCTTTTTTGCTAGCTACGAAGCCAGTTGTAAAATAAAGGCCTTGCGCAAACCCACTGGTATTGCAGAGGTACTAAAAATGCCTTTTGATCTCCAAGCAGCTGCTGTTTGCAACATGAAGTGACTATGGGCTGAGACGCCATCATGGAAAGTTACCGCGCCGTCATTTTATAAACCTGAGCCCTTCTTTTGCGAAAGAGATTTAAGGATTGGAGTATCCGGTTCACGGTTTAAGAGGAAACGGTCGATCTCTAGGACACTCCACTTACCTAACTGAGCTACTCAATGCGTAAAAGAACTAAACTAGAAGAAAAACAGACTGTGAGTCGATCATTTGTGTCGCAGGCTGAAAAAATGCGTTACGTCGACCAGCAGGCAGAGCCGATGAGCAAAAAAAGTCGTTAGAGAAAGAACAGGGCATGCTAGAGAACCACGAATGCGGGGAAACTTTTGTCCGGGCCATTTTTTCCATGTTTATCGTGACTATACTTTGCTCAACTAAATGTGTAATATTCGTGAGGCGAAAAAAGAAGAGGAATATACACAATCCACGACATTAGTCGTCGCACGGTAAAGGCCTGCAAGTTGGATAAATCCTATTGTGCTAGTCACCCTAAGAGAGATCAGTGTGTTGAACTAAAATCCCAAGAGAAGTTACCTCTTCCCTCCTAACTATCTAAATAGTAAATATTTCGACTAGATTGAGGAACTCATTAAGATTCATAAAGAGACCATCTAACTGCAACCGCCGTTATTCATTGTGCGTTCTTGTCTCTAGTTACTTTTCCTAAATTTCACTACGTATCCCGCCAAGTCTACGTTTCCCGCATTCATAATGAGATATTAATTCTAAACCCAAAGAGTAAACCTTCAGAAGAGAGACTAACGATCCGGAATGATAACGGACCACGCAGGGATCAGGACTGGGATAAGGGCCCTTGGTTGGCGGGTGGGATAAGAGTGGAGATAACAGCATTAATAGACTAGGTAGCCGTCGGGTGGCCGTACGCAAAAGAAAAGCCTGTACTTGGGTATTTCAAACTAAAGATTTTCCACTCTCCTATAATGTCGACGCTTGGATCAGGGGTAAGAAAAAAAAAACGAAAGTTGGTACGCAGTTCCATTCATGGTGGGTTTTCTTTGCAGGCTAGCCATCGGCACTATCTGCGCTAGGATATCCACATAAAAAGAGGCAGCGACTTCCTTCGACTGGCCTCGACGGCACGTAGGCATGTTTGTTAGTCATATTCGAGGGAGAAATTCGTTTATTCTACTGCAGCAGCAGCAGCAGCA